TGACTTCTCCTTATCTTTAGGATATTAACCCTGTTTCTGTAGACCTTTACAGCGCCTGCAGGCGGGCGCCAACACTTACCATAACAATACGGTAGCCTGTATTAGTCGGAAAGTCAGCCAGGCGGCCGCAAAAGTGTGTGTCCAGACAATATGATGCCTTGGCAGACATGTCTTTTTAAATCATAAAAGTGTATTTCACAAGAAAATGATGTTTTCTACAACGACGCCACGATACCATCAATTGTCGGCTTCTTATTTCGCCTCGATACTGATCTATGTTTTTCTACCACGTAGATCAACGATTCCTGTACTGATTAAATTAATAGATTACTAACCCAGGGCTTGCTGCGTTTTTATGAAAGTGTGGACGGCATAGGCTGTTATTTACAGACTTCCCCTAGAGCGAGATGGAAGCCAAGACGTTCTATTTTTTAAATCGACATTGTTCACAAAACATGTACGAAAACTACATTGCAATAGTATCGGATGTTAGCACCCGACCCTTATTAAGCGTTTCTTTATGATTGCATTTAAGACCAAATATAATAATAACCGGTATAATCTTATATTAAAGATGACTAATCCAGTTTCAGAGATTTTAAGCTTTTTTTAATGACGCAGATATCGAGTGGGTTAAGCCTACGATAAATTGCGATGATCTGGTTTTATTTATAATAATAATGAAGCATTTGTACATAGTACGGTGGTTTACACAGTCTGTGTGCCATAAAGTGAAACAAAAACACAAAAGAGAGAAAGGCGCTTGTAGTAGAGAGAAAATAAACTATGAATATGATTAATTGATATTAGGAAGAAATAATATCACCTAATGTTCACACAAAGGTATGCAGGGTGTTTCAGAACTAAGGGATCAAACTTCTAGGGGTTATTCAGTGTAACAGTAGAAAACATTTGAGTATATGGACCCATATCCGGAAAAGTGTCACTACGGCACTAAGGCCCTAAGACGAGTTAAAATTTAGAAGGACTACGAATTGCCTAAATAGGATTTAATGCATTTAATATTTGCCTTTTGTACATGATATCATCACAACAATTGTTCAAAATGTCTTCCTCCAACCTGAATACACCGATTTACACATCGCACATGATTTCGGCGGACTTGACTAAAAATTTGATACTCGTTTTGAATTATTTCAAATGCTGCTGTATTCATCCAATTAATTCTTGCTCTCTTTCTACTGGAGATTCGTAGACCAAAGGCTTTACATGTCCTCACAGGACAGGACAGGACATTAAACAAGGTATGATATGGCGAGGAACAAATCTCTACAGATTACGCTTGACTGCCTACCTGGCCTTGGATGTGATCATGCAAGAAACAAACTGGCCATGCAAATGCTTAGAAAGACACAGTCGAATTGTATGATAATTGAGTGAAGAAAAAGACTTAGCTGAAGTGTGTCGCCAAAAAAATGTTGCTGTTTTAATAACGCCTGCAGAAGAATCTGATGAAGGGTTAAATTGCTGTTGTACATATCGAAAAAGATTAACATCTGAATCCTACTCATGTTTTCTAAAAATACTTCTAAATAATAAGGTTAAAGCAGATATCTCCAACATTAAAACTTAACCGACTCTTGGACCAGTCTGGGAAGACATCGAAATGTAGTTTAATGGAATCTGTCAGAACCCCTTGAGCCTAAGTGATTTTTACTAAAATTGTAACATTGTGAATTGTAAATCCGAACACCCAATTTAAATGGTTTTATTTTAATAAAATTTTGTATAAGTACTTAATGAAGCATAATAAGTAAATGATACAAATTTCAAAATGATTGCACTGCTTTAAATCCCTTGGACCTTTAATAATGTGTGGGTGCACCCTGATGTGCTACGCATTCTCCAACGCGCCTAGGCATGCTTCTAATCAGGTGGTCAATGTCCTCCTGTGGTGTCGCATTCCAGGCAACCACCAACTCCTCTCGAAGTGCTTCTAGAGCCTGAGGAGGACGTTGCAAATTGAGCAATCTCCTACCCATCATATCCCACACGTGCTCAATTGGGGATAAGTCGGGAGATCTTGGTGGCCATGGTAACAATGTGACATCATTATGTTGAAAGAAGTCTATTGTGACTCTTGCAACATGTGGTCGGGCATTATCTTGTTGGAAAGTTGGATCTGCCAGGGTGTCAAGATAGGGTAAAAGATGGGGTTCTAGAACTTCGTGGATATAACGCTGCGCGTTCATGTTACCTCTGATGAAGATTAAAGGTGACCTGGAACCATAAGCTATAGCACCCCAAACCATAACTCTAACAGTGTGATGAACATGTCTTTCAACAAAAAACTGTGGATTCCTCCTATCACCACGTCGCCTTCTAACCCTGGCACGACCATCGTGCATGCCTAAACAAAATCGCGACTCGTCACTAAAGACAATACTGTTCCATTCCTGATCCCAGAGTGACTGTTGTCTGCACCACTCAAGGCGATTACGTCTGTGTTCTCGAGTTAAAGGGACGACCCAGTGTGGCCGGTATGAAAACGAGCCAAAACTTCTCATTCGTCGGTAAACACTTCGCATGCCAATAGGTCTTCCGTGTTCTGCAAACCAGTCATTCGCAATGGACCTGGTAGTGGAGAAACGGTCCCTTAAGGCCAATAATCTTGTGCGGCGATCTTCACGGTCTGTTGTTCTACGGCGGCGTCCAGTGCCCCTTGCTCTTTGCGTACGGCCTTCTCGAAGCCATGCCTGACAACACCTAACCACAGTGTCTACACTTCTTTGCACTCTAACAGCAATTGCCCAGCTTCCCGAAGTCCCACTATACGGCCCCTATCAAACTCACTAAGTTGACGAAATCGTACAGGTCTCCGTACTCTAGGCATCGAAACCGATCTTTACTGCGGCTGAAATATTCATTTTTAGAGCGTTAGTGAATTAAAAAAAGCAGTATAAGAACCGGAATGTCCAACTGATAAGGCTGAAAAATTTTTCACTTGTTATTTACAGTAAGATAAATACATTCACCAACTTTTATTAAAATAAAACCATTTAAACTGGGTGTTCGGATTTATATGTCACTTAGTATATGTATGAGAAAAGATCGCTTCATTATGGTCTTAATGAGGTTTAGGAACAGTTTTATCGAGCTCACTGACAACTTTGTGATAATGGCTGATAGTATGTAAAAATATAGTTGCTTGATATCAAATAATTTTCTTTTGTTATATAAATCATAAGTTGAATACAATTTTGGTTTTCTGAAAATAGTTTTCAAAACAGTTCTCTGTAAAACTTCTAAGACGTTCAAGGACACTGGACATTCTGTGCCCCTCGCCAGTATATTCTACCTTAGATGCGGCTCAATTAAGACATATAATTTTCTGCCAATATGCCTGTGAGGAATTTAATTTTTTATGTAACAAATCTTATTTTCTTTAAAATGTAGGCAGCATGAATGTCCTACCTTAAATGTTAGTCTAAAGAAATTCCTAAATATTCGATATTGTCCACTCTGTCAATTTTTAAATTTGTCTGGTTAATTTTGATGTAAATATTTGAATAATCGGATGGATGTCTTGTGTATGATGTGAAGGGTAGGAAATACGTTTTTATAAAGTTCACTGTTAATTTTCTAATGCGGAAAAAATTAATGATTTTATAAAACTCATTCTCAATTATTCTCTTAACACCATTCTAGTCTTGGCCTTTATATAGTATTGCCGTATCACCAACAAAACTGACTACTCGTATTTCACCTACAGAGTTAATACTGAATATATCATTCAAATAGATATTAAATAAAAGAGGGCCTAATACTGTACCACGACAAATATTTCCATCACTGTATGATTTTGATAGTTTCACTACTTGGGGCCTTTTTTGATAAATAACTGGAATTTTTTCATCCAGGTTTTGGGTGATTTGATTCACTGGACTTAGTACACCATCTGCCGTTGATTTTCCTGTTACAAAACCGTATTGATTTTGACTTAGAGTTTTGAATTTATCAAGGAAATTTTTATCATCTTACTACTTACTACTTTTTGGAATACCTTAACCAAAGCCGATATGAGTGATATTGGTCGATAATTCGTAACAACGTCCTCATTATCGCCTGTTTTATAGATAGGAATGATAACAGCTGAGGGAAATATTCCAGACCGTATACATTTATTTATAACATAAGCAAATGGTTTTGATATTTGCTTGACCATCAGCTTCAGATGTTTAGCGCTTACTTCATCAGATCCTGGGACATTTTTATTTTTCAGGTACATAACAGTGTTTAAAACTTCTTGATCATCGTCAGAACAAATGAGTTTACTATTATTTTTCTATGTAACTCAAATTTATTAGAATCGCTTCTTATATTGCTTGCTACATTTTTTACGACATATGTAAAAAAATTACAAATTCATCGCATATTCGTTGATTCTCATTTGTTACTTTACTCGTTTCAGTTTTCAATGTGTTGCAAGTAACGTTGCATCTTTTTGCTGAAGCCCAATCGGTCGCCAAATAACACTCGAAATTTTCAAACACTCCTTTTAAAATAGAATTGGAGACTACCCCTTTACCTCCATAATAAAGATACCCAATAAAGTACATATCTTTTATATCTTTTTTTTAAATTCCCACTTAAGGTAATCATACTTATCTTCAAAAATATGGCGTTGGTACGAGTAATAAAATGTAAGATACAATTGTTATATTAACACAAATAATAATAAAGGTGATGCGCGGAGGTGGGTGAAAAATCTGACCTTCCACTTGTTTTCCATGACCTTTTAGCGACCATTCCCATTTGTTTGCTTTCTATTTATCTCTCTCCAGAACTACGAGACCTATATCGCACTAATGAGTGTGCCAACGGACACGAGACAGCACTGTCTGCGGTTGGACTTGGTTACAGAGACGGTAAGCAAACATACTATTTTAATAAGGATGATGTTAACATACTAAATGCAGGAAACATAAATAGTCAAATCAGCACATTTGACTAACATTTATCTAAAAGGTATAACTTACATTTTCCACGACATATCCATTTGGTAAGTACTCGTAGTTGTTATTTGCAGCCATGTTGATCCCAATTTTGCACCTATACTAGCATTGCTGTTGGTCTCTTGTTGCCCTGTCAAGATGAGCTTGCAAACTGACGTGCCTCATATTTGTCGGGGGATGTTATATATAAATTACTAATGTTACTTATTGAAACTACGAGTGCGAGAGGACGATTGTAATATTTTCTGAACGGAACAGTGTGTTGGCTTGTACAAAAACTACATGCTTTTTTATGGACATAGGCAAGGTGGTTCTTACAACATTCATACATAACATCTCCCTTTTTTTAAAGATGAACACAGAAATCAATAACTATAAATATAATCTGAAGAAGTGTACTTTGAGTTGCGTCTGATAATTGAGGTAAGTGTGACGATACTAGGAGCACTAATGCACAATACCATACGCTGACGTCACATAGAAGAACCTGTTCTTGCATACGTGCTAGCCTGAAGCTGAACCTCAGCGGTACAAAGCGGTACAAAGTTAAATGTTGCAATGACATAACCGGTGTAAGCTGGAACTAAACCATTGTTTCACATTCCTATGTGCCGAAAATATTTTAATAATTAATAGTTGTCTAGCTGATAATCAGATAATTGTACCGTTAAAGCTACACCTGTTATAATTTTTGAGATGGTAGGCAGGACAGTCCAACATAACATCGTCATGCAGACGAGGATATTCATTAAATAAATTAATTGTTTTTAGGGCAGCTCCATTTCCTGGCCTTCGACGCGGCGTTAGAGAATGTAATATTTTTGCAGATCTAAAAAATATTTTTCCATTACACCCTAATAATCCTAATGTTATTTGTATGCCTGGAGCAATAAGTGACCATAGGGATGTAAAGATTTATTACGGCCAAGATACGTATAAGGTCATCTATAGGGCAAATGAAAAATTTAACTTAGTATCTAAATGAGTATAAAAATAAATAGGCTAGCTTTACTATATCGCAGGGCTACAGTTGTGTTCGTGGTCTTATGTAAATTCAAATATAGGAGCCGCTACAGGTTCTTTACCGCCTCGAGTCTACAGAAGACACTGGGCTGAAAGATAAGACTTAATGCTTGGAAAACCCACTCATAAAGTATCCTCTAGCGCCCATATGTAGATTGACGAATAAAAGTATACAATAGTGGAAATTCACAAAAGATTAATGATCTAGTCAAAAACTATACGAAATAATTTTATATTTAGGTATATTTCTAATAAAATTCTTCCACATATTTCGACGCAAAGGATTATCCAGGGATTTTGCAGTAGATGTATACACCCTTCTTGCCTTTTCATATGCTGTTAGGATCCATAATGATGATATTCCAAAATCCGAGAGGGCATAATAAATAGAATAGCATTTACTTGGGATCATGTACATCATAATACTTCAGGAAAATACATATAGATTCTAACGAATGCTACACTGTCTCAGAAATATGGGCATTTGAAATTTTGTTAAATCACGTAGAATGAATAGTTGAACAGCAACTGAAAAAAGCGAGAAGGTTATGCCACCCATTGTTCAACCTTCCGCTGTGAGTGCTTTATAATGACATTCCCTACTGATAATATCGGAATGTATTACAGTGGTAATTTCTGCAAATGATTCTCATTGATTATCAGGTGATAGGTAAGTTACATGAGAAAGATTTGCTAATGCATGTCTACTATCATTAGAATCGGAGAAAATACGGTAGAGGCGCACCAATTTGTAGAAGAATATGTATTTACGGAAAGTTTCTAAAAACTTACCATGTTTTAGCACATTGCCTTATGCGGGTATTCACAAAAGACGTACATGTAATCATACAAAAGAAACTTACTTACTTTCCTGCACAGTTGCACTCATGTTAGGAAAAGCCATAGGGTACTCCGTGCTTAAAATCTTTCATATCGCAAATATCTTAGTCACTGTTAAACCAATTTTGTTGAAATTTTGCCTAGAAGTAACGTATAACTAGATGGACTTTTTTGTTATTTATTGAGATCAACACCTGTTAATCTGAATAGTGATATGTTTGACTATGTGACGCAAAACTGAAAAACTCAGGGTTATCAACTTAGTCTCAAGAAATTATACAATACATGTAATGCTTACAATTATTCCAAAGATGCAGCATTCCACGGTAAGATCCTGCTTTTTTATATACTTCTATTTTATTAAGTGCAACACCCTGTAAGTTATACTCTTAATTCATAGTTATTATTATCTTACATTAAAAAAAATAATGCTATAATTAAGAGGGAAAATTAATGTTGTGCACCCTATTTAGTTTTTCAGTATTTTTTTAATTATTCAATTCTATCAAATGGTGTTATACAATAACACGAGTCCTGCTTCAGGGAAAGTGTATTTACTATGCAAATGCACTGAATTTTGCACCCTCCGGACCAATTCAATATTTTGATGGAGATGAAGAAAACCTTAATATTCAGTTACAGGTTAGACGTTACATTTATTTACGTAAAACACGTGGTATCGTGACCGGTACGGGTATTATGTACAGAACCTATAGAACCTCAAAAAAAAAAATGTCACCAGACTAGTAGCTTTTAGGATAGTTGGATAGTTGTGAGCGTCCATCTATGGAGGAATAACTCAACTACACGCATTGCCGAGTTAGTTTGTAGTTTTCATCTTTGAGAAGAAATTTGTTAGTATAGTAAGATCGCGTCTTTATGATTGTGTGTATTTGTCTGTGTGTGTATAAAATCAGTGGTATTTGCTGTGTGAGAAAAGCATTACTGAATATGCTTCCAATTAAATAAATCTATTAGCTGTGCCCGACGGGTTACTTATATATTGTCCATTCTGAAAACAGGTTATGTTCGAAGTTACAAATTACGATTTTTTACGATTTTTTTCTATATGACTTGTAATTCGACAGTGTGGATATAATTAATTGTTTTCTCTCTTATTTTTGAAATTCAGCAGATTTGTATATGTAATTTCCAGAGTGGATAAGAAAAAGTGGATGCCCAACTAATTTGTAGCTTTGAATCTCATCTCTGAAGCAGAGTTTACATCACATCACAGCCAAACCTTCATAACTGAAGCCTCATAACGTTTAGGCAACACGTACAACTACAAAACGAGTTTACACCGTGTTCATCAGCTAGTGCTAAGTTAACATCTTGTAAAAAAAGATACATAATGTCACAAAAAACAATACAGTTTAAAAAAAGTCCAGTTTTCAAGATACATAATACCCGTGATCTTAATTTAATGTTGGTCTGTAAGGTCACATTTAGTGCAATTGTATATTAAATGACGTCTGCCTTTTTAGCAGAACTTATATTATTGTACAATATCAGTTGATAGAATTAAATCAAAAACCGAAAAAAAAATAAGGTGAAAAACATAGTCACCTTTTGCTCATTGCTCTTTTTTATACAAAATTATAAATTCGGGGTATAGCTTACCGGGCGCTGCATTAGTAAAATAAGAAAAATAAAAATGAATCTGGCCCTGGAATTTTGAATAGCGCAAACATCTTTAGTTGAACTGTAAGCATTATTTAGTCAAAAGTTGATGAATTCAAGTTAGTAACACTTAAAATTTTGATTCATGTGTCACACAAACTGCTAAGAGTAAGATATTTAATTTAAAAAAAAGTTTAGCTAATAAACCACTAGAGGCACAATCAATCTATTTCGTGGAATGCAGCCGAGTGACTATACACGATGATTGAAATACTTGCGTACGTGACTACACAAGGACCATCAGAGTGAAAATTCTTCAAAACTTCTTGGACACTGATTATTTGAATTTAATGGGATTTTAATGTGTAATTTTTCTTAGCGGTGTCATAGGAAATAACTTGCGGTGAACGTGAATGGGGGAAAGCACTTCAATGCATACTGTATGTTGGGTTTAACCAAAACGTCTGCGACTACACCCTTAGCATCCACTACAGTTCCTCATAGTAAACTAGTTTAATCTAGTTTTATCATCCTGACAGTGCCGCTCTGGGCCGAAATACTGTTTACTATGTTTCAAAAATCTCAAAATATGTCAGTGGATGAATAGTATCTTCAAGAATACAAAACAAACAAAGTGTATCATTATCAACTAGTTGAAATCATTTCATTGGCTCTAATATACATACCAATAAAATATGTGTCAAGTGAATCAAATTATTTATTCCGTTTTCCTATTTTCAACTAATTTTATAACACACGGAAAATATTAGAAAGAAGCTAAGCATGAATAACGAAGTTTGAGAACAATCAAAAATTGTTGTTTATTCGCTAATAACGTTGCCAGCACTCAAAATATTCAAAGAAGATAAATTAACATTACCTACTGTGACTTTATGTTATATCCATCTCCAAAAATCAAAATCGTTGTCGAGATTGCTGAGATTTCGCTTTCAATATCATGTGCGTGTAGAGTCAAAAATGCCAATCGTGAAGTGGACAAAAATGTTGAAAATCAATTTGGTACAGGACTACACTAACGGACCTCACGACAAATACTAAAAGCATTCGTTCGCTATTACACCTGATGGGAAAATGCCAATAAAAAGTTCTCATTAGATCGTAAGTAGAGCATTAAAGTCAAGATTGTTTAATGATCCTTTAAGCATCAGAGGATGTGTCCAAGTTCTCAATGAATCTTTCATTAGCAGTTGATGGGTTAACTTAATTACATACGCTATATGTATGCGTAGCAACTCCGCACCATTCATTCAAGATTAAGCCTTTTTGGGTAAATGTCACTTGGACACATGGTCTTAAAAAATCGAAATAAGTATTGCTAAGTTACAATGATAAAGTATAATCGGTCGACCTGAGGAGCGCGGGTTCGAATCTCGGAACATTCCGAGCCCCGCAGTGTTGGGTTGTGAGTTGTCTATATCACGCACCAAATCTGTGCAAGATCAGCATCGGTGCATTACATCGCTGGAGTTGGTTTATTCAATAATCAGTTACCAGTAGATGGCTTGCGGACTAGTAGTGTTGGTACTAAGGGGTGGGCAAAGAAGGGTCGGTCTCGTCTGCACGTATGTAATATTTTGTTATTCTGAAAGCTTCGTACATGGGTTTCAGGTGATAACTGGAATAATACGATACAACATCAGGTGTCTCATAAGATATGCCAACAAGTATTGAATAAGTTCTATAAGGATCATAATATTTCGCAAAAAAGTGTCACTATTGCATTGAGCATATAAAGATTTCGGGAGTTTTTGAAAACTGTGACCAAACGCA